CCCAGAGGGGCAGGGATGGGCTCTGCAGCTGCCCCCTTCCCCTTCAGCTTCCCTGTGGAGGGCTGGAGCAACCTCGGCTCCAGAGGGAGAAAATGAATGCTTTCTTCAGCTTGTGCCAGGCCAGGGTCCATCAGGGATGCCGACACTGTCATGACAGTTCAAAGTTTTTGGTTCTCAACATTGTATTCTCTACAATGCTCCCAGCTTTGGAGAGGGAAGGTGGGAGGAACAGCCTGCCCCGCCATCCCTTCCTGTACCGGGCAGCACGGGGCAGACCGGCACTCCAGTGGCACGAGGCAGGGCAGGGTTCCCAGGGCATGGGGCAGGCTGGGGCCCCATGGGCAGGACAGGCGGAGTCATGGAGCACTAGGAGAGACGGTCAGGCAGAACAAAATGCAGGGCAGCATGTGAAGGCCAAACCCTGTCTGTTTCCAGATTAATTTCCCAGATAATCTGCCTCTCTCCACCACCCAGGAAGAGCAGGGAGGGTCTGTTGTACAACAGCTGGGAAAGAAATGGCTATTTTATCAGCCTGAGCACAGAAAGGCATTGTTTCACATCGTTTTCCTGTGAATACTGGGAGAGTCAGAGGCAGTAGCATGGTAGGGGAGGTAAAGAGGGGGCAAGGTCAGAAGCAACTCCCAGCTCTAGCAGGCCTCTCCATCAGCCTTGGCTTTGGCTTGTCCCAGACCTTGACCAGCAAAGCAGGCACATGCCAGCCTGTTCTCCTCAGGCCCGGGTACATCCAGGGCCCTATATTAGCATCTCACTCCCCAAAATCAGCAAAAGCCAAGCAAGCCCTTGCTTCTCCAGTGACTGTGCACTGGGACATCAGATTTCATCACCAGATTTCTTCTTTACAGCTTCGCTAAGGTTTCATGTCATTCCTTCCACTGCAATTAACTGGAAGTAATCCCAAGCAGGATATAGCATATTGCTGAACTCGTACCCACTTCTCACAGCAATGCTATTAAAGCATGACTTGCATGTTCCTTCCCTTTCCTGGGTATATCTTTAATATTCACATCACTGAAAAGATATTTCATACAGACACAAACTAGAACTGGGCTGTGTAAGCATTCATGTTCCTGTCTGACCCTAGGCTGTGCCGTGTAAGTCTGGCACCATGAACCAACTGGCACACTATTCTGGAGAAAGATTTTCAGTGACTTTGTATTTTTGTAGTTAAACCCCAAGTGAAGCCTGTATAGTAATCAAAAACAGTGTCAGAGAGAGCTAAAAAGAAAAACCCATTACTTTCTACATTACCCTATGAGAGAAATATTTCATTAGAAGTGTTTTTACCTCACTGGGAAAAGAAAATAAACAGGAGTTTCCCAATGGCTTCCCTAGAACCAAGTGAAAGTGTCACAGTCAGACTTTACCCCAAAGTCCCCCCAAAACAGCAGAGTACATATCCTGTAAGGATGTGATGCAATGACCAGCAGAACTCTTTCCATACTCTGCTCTCCTCCCAGGTGGAAGATACACACCAGTGAATACTTCAGTCTTCTAAGGATAAGGTTACACTCAAATTTTCTACAGCTTGAAGCTAAAGGGAAAAGGAAAGCTCTGAAGCACTGCCAGCTGTGATACTATTTGACAACTCTTATCCAGGAGCCTGCATCTCATCTTCCTACAAACAGTTCCTCCAACAGAAGCCAAAGTACAGTTTACCTTTCCTCCACCCTGTACTGGTCATTTGCATTCATCTTTTTCTGCCTCTTCAGAACATTGAACATCTTCCATGAAAAGAGATGCAACTTCAGCCCTGCATATCTGCAAAGTCCACTTTTCTTATACAATTCTCATTGCATTCTGATGGAGTCTCCCACTGTCAATGGCTTTAAAGAGTATGACCATGCACTGGGAGTCCATCCATACTTCAGCATATTAAAAAGTGAAGTGGTTTTGTGATGTGAACAATACCCAATAACCTACATGTTGCCATTACACTTTAGTCTTGAACTGCAAGCCACAAGCTGTAAATGTGATCACATTTTTTGCTCAGTTCTATCATTTTTTCTCAGTAATGTGGCATAAAAAGGATATATTGGGTTCAGGCAGAAGAGAATCATAGTGAACTCTTGCAACGCTTTTAGAGGGAAAACAACCTGTAGAGCTATCTTGATATTCTAAGGATTGTATTTTAGTGAGTACCAGCATTTATTAAATACATATTCAGCACTATCAAATAACTTAGAATTTTGTAACACAACATGTGCTCTAAATGCAAAGGATGTAAGTTAAATGGCATTTAATTTAATGCACTTTCAGATAAACAGCTTCTTTTTCAGTTTATCAACATTTAAACATCTACTTTGCCTGTAGTAACTTTCGGAACTGTCTACTATAAGCTATATAAATGGGCCATCCAAAAATATGATAGCAAATCCCTGTTTAAACAACTCATGCTCACTCACAAAAATTTACTCTCTCCCTGTATGCCTGTTTTCAGGGTTGATGACCCCTCAAAGATGAACTGCTGCAACATGTTACAACTTCTAATATTTTTGTGCACATGAATACTAACAAACTTTATTTTTATAAATCTCCATGAACTTGTATCTTCTCATTGTTCTAAAAGAGCTTTATATGGAACTCCTCTGGTAAATGAATTACTGTAAGAATTTATTCAATGCTTTATACCGCAGAAGTAGCTACCTTGAAATTACCTGCGGTAAAACAGATACAAGAAAGAATTACATGAAGCAATTAAAACCCTCTCAACTGTGGCTTAAATAACAGGCTTGACAGCCTGGCTTCCGCAATGCAAAATTAAAATGGGAAACTCCAAAAGAAAAGATTGGAAATACTGATTTTCATCTTTTATTGACCCAAATTTGCCACAGTTAACATGCCAAAGGTAATGGATCCATTTTCTTCAACAAAACCAGGATATGGTCAATGAGAGATCTGATCTGCTATAAATACTTGATATATTCTGATAAAATATACATCTGTCCTTCTTCAGCCCCAGACTGGAAAAACTGAAGGAGAATTAACAGGGGAAGAGAGATTCAGTTTAATTTCTGGCATTGTCACTATCCATTTTAATCTTTTCTCTGATTTATACTTAAACTATGCATTATTCTGAGGTTGTCACAGTGCTGCTTCAAGGTACTTTCCACTAAGTGATGGCACAAGAGATGTTTCCAGTGTTCTCAACACACTTCACTAGGGACTGAAGGAACAGCAGTGCTGAGATGATGGGTTTGGTGCTTGCAGGGTCCTCAACCCACTCCTGAATGAGTCAGGATGGGGAGTCTGTTATCAAGTGTGCAAATGCAAAAGACCTCTCTCTTCAGTCCAAGCCCATGAGACACTCAATCTGCTCTTTTGCTGCTACCCCACAACTGACACTCTCTGCATGCAGGCTGACTGAACACACCAGTTGCTTTCTGTGGCCTGATTTTTAGGCTCTTTACACAGTCATCAGCAAGTGGATAATGTGCATGAGACAGCAGCATACACTTCATTTTACCATGCCTGAAAGAGGATGAATTCAGCCCTATCTCTCCAATCCCAAAATATTCTTACTCACAGAAGCAAACACAGCTGTACTGCTTATAGGTGTAAACTGTATCCCATACACAACAAGTATGGGATACCTTTCTGCCATTATATATGTCACTTTTCAGGTGTTCATAACAACCTTGTAATTGTTCAGCCCCTGCTGAAGCAGGAAAAGAGCACCTCAGCCTGGATACCCTTAGTGTTCCTTGTTTCATTAGGTACAATCTCAACAGTATTTGTTTTTTTGTGAAATTATGTTTATGAAATTAAGTTTATGAAATGATTACAAAGCCAAAATAAGGCTTAGAGCATTTTGTGTCTGTAGAACTCAAACCCAATTCCTAATATTGCAGCAGTTAGAAAACACACCAATTTGCATGAACTGCTTTGGTACTTACAACTATTTTTTAAAAGTCACTTTCTCAAGGTTAAAAAAACTTACAACCTATAAGGGCAGCTTTCAAGAATGATTTTTTCAGTGACATGGCTAATGCACACCATGCTGAATTTTAAGGTCATGTATTTATTTGGAAATGTAATTATGCAAATGCTATTTTCATCACTGTAAATATATTCTGGGTCCAGGACTAAAACACCTGGTGCAAAGCTCCTCCTCAGGAGCTGCAGAACTATCAGTACAGTTGCTTTTTGCATATTCACAAATACACAGCCTTATGCGTATCTGAGTGAACAGATGAGATGCCCAGAGGGGAGAAAGAAAGACACAGATTGGAAACTTGTTGGTGTCTTCCCTTATTTTCAACCCCCTAATGTGAAATTTGTAAACTTTTTGATTTGAAGCTATCTCTTGGATTAGAATTGGCAAATCACAGAATCGCTTGGTTTGGAAAAGACCTTTAAGATCGTGAAGTCCAACAGTTGCCCCAGGACTGCCAAGTCCACCACTAAACCATACCACTAAGGACTTAATCTACAGGCCCTTAGTGGTATGGTTTAGTGGTGGATGTATAGTCCAAATATAGTACAAGTTATTTAAATATAGTTAAAATTATTTAGTAGTTGTAATAATGAAAGCTTGTTTGGAAATAAATACATACAAATCAGGTCTCACTGACCGTAGATTGTAATACGCCCTAACTCATGCTTTTGTGTCAACATAACTACCAAGCTGTAAGTCTGTAATTTTTGTGGATGGCTGATTTTGTTCTGTCCTCCATTTTCTTCCCACCAATGGACCTCATAACATTCATTTTTCTGGCCAAGCATGGTCAGAGGTGACTGTTGAGCAAGTTGCTCAGGTGGAAGGGAAGTTTGGGGGCTATATGAAGCTCCGTATCTCCACAGTGGTTAAGGCAGTCAGCAGTTACCTTTGGCCTCTGTGAGCTCAGCGTTTTCCAGCTATCCATCTTCACTTCCCTAAAGAGCTCTATAAAAGTTAACAGCACAAGCAATATGCTAGAGATTAGCGCAACTCATACAAATACACAGCAACTGACAGGCAGCTTAACGATTTTTCTCTCCTAGCGCAGGGTCTATGGCAGGAGAAGCCTTCACAGACCTTTGAGTAAATCTGGTCCTTATAAAGACAGGAGAGATCATTGTCATCATTGTCAGCGCATAAAAGTTAACAACAAGTCAGGTCACCAACTATTTGTGATGCTGGAAAAATCACTGGGAACAGCATTCGTGTTTCAATTTTTTCCCTGGCACAGGGTCGCTCTTCTCAGCAGTTTCCCCTCGAGGAATATTATTGTAAACAACTGTCCTATTTTTATGCAAATTTGTGTTTTACAGGAGATAAGACAGTAATGATAAATTCTTCCCATTTCCTAACAGTAGATGAGAAAAACTCCACTCCATAAAGAACCAAAATTGTAATATCAGTGTGTCATTCTTAACAGGGGTGAAATATATTCCCTTATTAGCAGGAACAGAACATCATTTGTTCTTGTAACATGATCTGGTTGTCTGGAAAGAAAAAACCTAGTTAATCATTTTATTTTATTATATTTTTTCCAATGACTGAAATTTACACAAATGAAAATAACTAGGGATTCATCATGGGTTGACAATACTTTCAGATTAATATTGGGTGGTGCTGCATCTCCTCTAAATTACTAACTACCTTGTCAGATGGCTAATAAACACTGCAGCCCAGTGCAGCAGCCTCCTACACATTACATTGTCCCCTGGGTGTTAAACGGCAGAAGATGTGTGGTTTAGGAACACTTCTCATTGCATAAATTAAGCCCCAGCTCTGCCTTACCTTGTCTCCTTGTCCTTGGGCATCGCAGGTGACCCGTAGCCAAAAGCCTGCTTGTCAACTGGAGAGGGCACTGCCTCAGCCATACCCGGGTGGCCGAGGGTGCTTCGTGCTTTCGCATCCACAAACATGGGTGGTCCTGGTTCCTTTTTGAAGGACTGGCGGCTGGGGGAAGACCTGTCAGGCTGGATGGTGTGGGGGGGAATGTGAGCACTATGGTGAGGATGAATATCGATCATTCTCATGTCAGCCACCCTGTGGGGTGAGGCAGGAGGCGTTTTAGAGCCAAGGGTAGGCAAATGGCTCTCTGGGTACTTCCGTGACTTTTGTCTGTACAAGGATTGCTCCAGCATTTCGGGCTGCATAGAGGGATTGCAGTAAGTGCTTGATGACCTCATGGCACTGCGATGGTAGGCTATGATGTGATCGGGGACATCGAGGGGGTGTCCGGAGTGGGGTGCAGCCAAACTCATCCTCCCCTCGTGAAACAAGTAGGGGTCACCGTACAGGCCTTCATTTCGGATCAGGGCAAGGTTTTTGTTACTCATGTCCTCATCTGGCTTCACATCCCGTCTCTCCAAAATGGCGCTTGGGCTGGGAGATATTGAGCGTGAGGCTGGCACGCTGGAGAGCCGGTCCCTGGGGATGGTGGCGTTGCCTGGCACACCCATGGGCCGGCCCCCGCCATAGGGAATCCTGGATGGAGAGGGAGGCATGGAGTGGGGCACCGGGGTGGAGGGCGGTGAGCTGGGCATCACGTGTGGAGGGTGCGTGGCAGATCCAGGGCGAGAAGTATTTGGGCCATCTCGGCCCATATAAGCGATTTCCCTCTGCATCTAGAAAGAAAAGGAAAAACATATAAGATGTAACATTACTGAATGTGTAAAACATGATGTGGGTTTTGACAACCTCGACATCTACAGAAAAAAGATGGAAAGAAAACAAACTCTCAAGACTAAACGATTTTTCATCTGCATAAGTAAAACACTTCAGACCTCAGTGCCTAAAAAAAAATAGCAACTATAAAGAGCAATAAAATGGGCTGCATGTTAAAGGAATATGAGAGTTTCAAAAATGCTTTTACTTACACAAATACCACCTTACCCTAATCAGATACTCACAGCTACCAAAGCTGAAGTAATGGGCTTCGGTGCCAAGGTGTTCTAAGTACATGTAGCCAGTGACAAATTTAAACAGTTTATTGGTCAAACACACAGGCTAGAGTTCACTGATTCCAAGCCAGGAAGAAAATGCTGGTGCTGTGGCATCACAAACACACTTGAAATCCTTAGACAAGAAAAATTGACATTACAACTAATTGGCATTCGCTTCAGTGCAGGAGGTAGCCTTTTGCTAATAGTTTGATGTAGTCTTTGTTGCACAAAGCACAGGAGAACAACACACAAACCTTTACTGACTGCAACACAGTCAAGTTGCACAAAAATGGCTTGACACTATAAAACATGTGCTGCGAGTTTCCTTCATTGCAAAGATAACAATGCTTGAGACAGTTTGCAAAGCAGATGCTCAGAAAGTCAGTGAATGTTTTATCATGGTTTTCTAAGCAGCAGCAGTAATTGCCACCAGTAAGGAATGAGCACACAAGGAAAAGAAAGGGAAAACTTCCATACCAACATTATTGCTTTGTTAACAGAGGCCTTGGCAAAATTCTACAATGGATACATCTGCTTCTGAGATTGTAGCATCTCACTCTGCTCAGCAATGACCTGTCTAGATGGCTGAACACTGCCCATGAGAGACAAGGGAGATATTCTCCCTCTAGCAAGCATTTTGCCTGCTCTGGTGCCATTAAGGTAAGGTGGATAAACAGGGAGATGGAGAAATCAGCTGGGTTCCACCAACTACATATGAAAGAAAAAGAATAAAATCACAGCTTCTAAAATTTGTGTTAGCGATTTCAGCTTCCCTCTCCGTCACTGCCAGGGGATTGTAGAAAACTGAGCATCACCAAGCCCAACTACACATTCCTAAAGTTACAGAATACACATTAATGTGCAAGTGGAAGCTGCTGATCTGAAGTCTTGACCATTTTTCTCCCCTCTTGCTCCTCGCTTTGACAGTATGTCTGGATTCACTGCAGTTACACTGATCCATGGCTGATGAAGCAAGAAATTACGCTCTATTCCTGCCCCACCACAGGTTTTTCCACTGCTAAGGGAATTGCGATGGCGGTGTATAAACAATAGCTGTTCTGATCACAGCAGGCTCCGCACTTGGGAATTAAAAGTGACATTCCCCAGGGCCAGAGATCAACAATCTGGAGTATCAGGTATCAGAAAGAAGAAAGGAGATAACCTGACTGTGGCACCAGCAGTAATAAATAAGTGTAACAGAACAAAGGAGCGCGCTGGGATGGGTCACAAATGAGCGAGACAAAAGTCATTGAGCCAAAGGGGAATGTGGGATATGTTTTTTTCATTTGCACAGAGAATTACTGTAGTCTGGAATTTAAAATAAAATATAACTAGACAGAATTAATAAATTTATCAGTGGGCATTCAACATAGTTTTCTATCGGCTTGAAGAAACACTGCAGTATACTGAGCTGTATTGTACATTCAGACTCTGGACCTGGGCCAGCAGAACAGAAAGACTCCTACTGACTTGAGCAGCTTTGGGATCAGGACTCCAGGAATAGGCAGCTGCAGATGTTTTGCATGGAGAGAAGAGTCCAAAGAAAGAAAATCTTCTCTGGTTTCTACTGGACAAGCTATTCCCATGCCCTGTTCAGTTGCTTCAGATGAAGCTACAACAGATGCAAAAGTATCTGGGACACAAACCATAGACATATGGGATATGCTGCATTGGAGTGGAAGGAAAATTCCAACGTTACCTTGTAGAGAGGAGAATATTTCCACGGAAGCTTAGAAAGCAACAGGTTTAACTTCCCCTGACTTCTGGACTTCGTATTCCCATATACGCTCATTCATTTCCCATAAATCAAAGAAATCTGTCAGAGAAAAATTCCTATTTTCCACCTGAATGTACTGCCATACGTTAAGATGGAAAGGAAGATTTCAAATATAGGTCTGGGCTATTGCTCAAAGTCCCGTGTCTGAGTACTGCTGTGTACATAACGCTATTTACTTTTGCTTTAAAATAGCACTTGGAGTACACAGCCTGAATCAAGACCCCATTGGGCTGGGCAGGGTGCAAACGCCTGGGCACACAACCCCTTCCTGAACAGTTCACTTTCTATTTTAAGCCGTGACTCAGTCCCTGGGTGTAGCATGCAGAAGCGGGGAGCAGTTGGAGCCATAGAGTCCAGGGTGCCCAGAGCAGGTGCAGGGACCTGGGCTGGTGACCGGGAGTCAGGCACCCTTACTGCTGCACTACAGTGTCTTTTGCTACCTTATTTTTTCTCTTTTATCCAGAATCTCCAGATTCTTTATTGATGGCAACTTTAAAAATGCGAACGGTTGTCTTTTCTTGCCTCTCATCTATATATCTTCTGTGCGACATTCATGGCACACTACTTTTATATGTACCCCACCTTCTGTGCTGGTTTTGTTCTTCGGTCCTCCACCACAAAACCCCCACGTTGCTCAATGAAAACACATACTGTAATATGCAGGCTGTCTTCATCCACATGTTCTTGGACTTCAACTGCATGACTCAGGAACAGAGAAAGAGGATATTTGGCTTATCTCAGTCTCTAAATATGAGGTGATATCACAGCCAGTTGCTTTAAGGGCAAAAGGAAGAAGATTTTTTAATGCAGTCATAGCATCATGTGCTATGTGACTGCAACCATGGAATACATTTGCCTGAGGGTGTGGTGGTCTTTAGCGCACAATTCTTCATTGTTCCTACTACCTATAGGCTTTACATCCTTGAAGTGGAAACATGTCTTCTTAATCCTTAGGTTAAAATATGGCAAATGGCTAGCAACAATTTCCATATAAAACATTTGAGGGGAAAAGACATCACTTTCTTTTTTAAACAGAGCAATAGAGACACTGAAGAATGTCTTTATGTATTATAGAGTGAACATCATATAAAACCAATTGTGTTCTTCATTTCAAAACTACTTGGCATACTCAGTAACTTGCTATATTTTTAATGTGACTGTGTGCAGAAAGGTGGCAAAACAGCTATCCATCCACCCAAATGGATGACCTTACAAAGAGTCTTGCTCCTGGTAGCTCATATAAAGGGTGAGCAGACCCAGTGTCTCTGCATAGAGCAGAATACAAAGCTTGTGGCAGGTCCTGGCATCTAGAGTAGCACAGTTACCCTGAAAGAAGGACAGAGCTGTGGTATCGTAAGCCTTATGGATACCAAAGAGCAAACTGCTATACAGTGCTTCATCAGCTGCTGGTTTCTGCGGTTCAACTCAGTCTGACATCCATTATCAGGACTAATACAAAACTATGCTGATCTTTAGCCTAAATTTGTTACAGCTCGTGGCCTGTCCCAACACGGGCATCTCACAATGAAAAGAACCATCGTTACTTCTGTTTCTCCAGTTGCCTTCAACACATCATTTGTACCCGTGGCACACACCAGACAGGGCACATGCTGTCGTGCCTGCATGCACACCAGGGCAAGGCCAGCACTAAGCCTACACTGATACAGTGGCACCACACCAACACTTTACCACACAGCTGGGTACCAGAAGTACAGCCTGACTTGTGCCATTACCTGCTAACATCTCACAGCAAAACACAGGCAAAGTAGGCCAGAGTTTCTGACCTGGCAGCCCTTCCCATTGCTCTCCCAGGCCTCCTCAACATCAATAGAGAACACAGCGACTGGCTTTGACCCAAGGATTTCAGCCTGCCAAAATACCTACAAGAAGCATGTTCCCTAGATAGAACTTATCCAGGCACCCTCTTGGAGACACCCTGGAGTTCCCAGCAGACTCCATTAATCACCTCTCTGGCATGCGAAGCTATTACTTTTCTTACTTTCCCGTTGACACCCTGAATTTCCCTGAGGAAACTGCTCCTATGCTCCTCAATCTGGCTCTCCCAACAGTAAACAGAAGACAGCTGCAAAGAATTTTATTGAGAGCTTGGAAAGTCTTTGATCTAAAAGCTACAGAAACACTAAGTACTGATGCAATACTGATAAATTCAAGTATCTGTAAAGTGACCTTTTATGGAAATTGCTCACCAGAAGAAAATCCTCTAAGAAGGAAGGCAATCCTTCACTTTTCTAATCAGGAAAGACTTCATTAAAGAACCCTAAATCCAACAACAACACAATCCATTAGTTTGTTTTTTCCTCGTAAAAAAAAAATATAAATTGACAGCTTCATGATAGTAGTTGTGCAAAAACCTCAGTTTAATCAGTAGTTGCACTATGTGATACCACTTCTGTCATGACTGATATTTCATCAAGGTTGGTTTTGGACAGCTGAAAGCATAAATGCTTTTTTTGCAAAACCCAGTCTATATATACAGTTTGAATATTTCTAAAATAATATAATTTGCAATAATAAATAGTGCACTTCGAAATTATAGAATTAATAAACAGTCTGAAAGGAAATTTTTTAAGTATCTGTACCATGACTATACGTCTGAAGCCAAATCCTTATGCTATCAGACATCACTGAGAGGTTGTCACACTTGACTGTTTTTGCCTTCTTATAGTATGCCTTTAATTTCCTATAAGTTTCCCTACTCTATTGGGTCATTACAGCAAAAGAAAAAAAAAACCAACCCAGCCTGGCTGCAGCTGCGAGTTCCTCCAGCTGCCCAAAGCCATACTTGAAAACTCCAAACACCTTAGCATAATTTTTAGCTTTTTCTGGTCAGGAATTTTCCAATGAAGAATTCTTTCAGCAGACAATGTTAATCCAAAAGATCTAA